GAGTCTCTTTAGTCTGAAGGGAGAGTCCCACACTGACAGGCTGGAGGAATTTAACCTTTTTAGTCTTGAACAAATAAGACGATGATGAGACCTGATCCAAATATTCAAAATCCTCAAAGTCACAGACAACCATGAACTAGAGGACACGAGTGGAAACTATGTAGAAGTGGATTTAAAAGTGAGCACAGGAGGCACGTCTTTACTCCAAGGGTTGTGCGAATCGTGGCTTTGCGGCTTGTTCCAATGACTAAAGCTGATACTCTGGCTTCCTTTGAGAAATGACCGGGTGAGATCCTGGGATCAGGTACCTAATACCTGATCCCATACAAACAGGCTGGACTGGCCGTATGGCCTACTCTTGTTTATAACACTCATTTGTAAGTGTTATTATGTTCTTATTGACAACTGTCAGTGTCCTTTCCCATTAGTGACAGAAAAGCATCTGGATTTAACACTTGCCAATAGGCCCCGGGAGTGAGAACTGCTGTCAGACATGGACTAAGAGAGCAGTAAATGGAGACTCGTGCTTTGATTTGTCTAAATCTTTAGGGAGTTTAAAGGTCTCAAGAACGTCTTCAAGCTGACACTGAAACAGCAAGTATGTTTGCAAAGTAAAGCTGTGCCTGCCCTATCACTACAACAGCCACTTTCATTGTAAAAAGGAGACCCGTCACCTCTCAGGGCTGAGGTTGTCATCTTCTCGGCAAGCTGTAACACAGACCTTTATAGGAACCTCAGACAGATTTTTCATCTTTATTCTGTTTCAGCTTTGGCCCTTAAAAAGCTGGGAACAGAATTGCCAGAATCTAGAGTGTAACTTGTAGAATTAACCTGGACGGTTTGGTTTTAGAGAAGTAACTTATTTGTAAGTTTCAAATATTGATGCTGGAGTCTCCCAAGTGGCTTAACCTGTAGAGTGCAGGTTGAGTTCTACAATCACAGGTTCGAGCCTGGCACATGCCACCACCCCACAATATTGACTGAGATCTCCCAAGGGGGGACACACAACTAGCTCAGCACCGCTTAGCAGAAGGTGAGACTGGTCAGCCAGGATTGTTTTGGCTCTTGGAGACAGAGTGTCCTCTGCTCCTGGACTCTGGCAGACACGCAGTATTCTTGATGAGAGGTGTACCTCTCCTCCAATCAGCACCCTAATCCTCCAGTAGGGGGCGGTGCTGCTTGTGCCATGTGACTCAGAGGTGGGCGGGGCAGAGGAGTCTATCTGCACTTCCTTGTCATGCCCATGTGAGATCTGAGATGTGGAAAAAACACAACTGGCTATTACAAATTGGGTCTATAGGTCTATAGGAATCTAAATGCATTTATAACCACTGTTATTGTATTTCTGCATTGTGAAACACCTAACTGCCTTCAGAATCACACAGGTTAATAACGGTCACTGGACATGGTGAAATATACTGGTGTGGCCCATGTTTGTGTCACTCAGTCAATATCAGAAAACACACGGTGTGTATAACTTCATTTTTCCTGTCTAACTTATTCTAATTTGGACTGTCTCTTACCAGTACAGCCTAATATCGTTTAGTCTAGCCCATCCCTGTCTATTCTAGAGAAACCCTGCTGAGTCCAGTTCAGCCTGTGTTTTACTGTGTAAAATTGTGGTTTATTGTTAGTTTTACTGTTTTTCCCATCAAGACAACAAAATAAAATTATACTGATAATAAGGTACTTACATACCAAAGTTGAATCTGAGGTACTAACAGTGTTTGAATTGGCAATACAAAATCCTGACATGAATCCAGCTGGGGACCTATGGATACTATAAGGGTCCTGAGAATTATAACTGTTGTACAAGACATTCAGTACATGATTCCTGCAACAGTACTCTAGTCACACCCTGGAAAAAGATGGAAAGCAATCAATGATGATGGACATCTTATTTTTGTCATATAATTTACACTGTATATTAACTGAGTGTGGTAAAATAATCATTTTGCATTGTTTTAATGAAAAAGCATTTTTGTTCTAGAAGAGTAATAAACTAAACAAAATATGCATTAATTGGAATAACTTCAACTGTAGCACAGTAACTGACATGTGGAAAACCAGGAGTCTCTGGAAGACTTTCCAGAACAGCCGACACAAACACTCTCCCTCACCTCCTCCATCAACCTCCTCCTGCCCCGTTTTCAACAGGCAACACAAGGAAGGTCACAAACAAGAGGTAAAGTCCCCCCAGTTTGTTCCTTACACTTATATACAGTACCACTTGTATATAGCACCACCACCAATGTGCAGCACCCACCTAGATGACGCGCCATTACTCTCAGCACACATCAGCTATCAGTTGGAAGGAGAAATAGAGAAATGAAGCCAATTAATAGATGGGGATTATTTGAAAAAAATGTACAAAAAATGTACCCCTGATAATGCTCCCACAAACCCAACACTACTGATGGTTACCAAAATGGTAATCCGCCATGTAGCAATCATATATGTTGAATCTGTTGAAGTTAGAAATAATATTTAAGATCTGCTGAACTGGTCCCTTCTCACACTGGACTGAGGCACAGAGAGCGCAGAGCTGTCCTGCTGTTGCTGCAGCCTTCCAGACACAGCTGCACACAGCGCAGCCGAGTGGAACTACAGGAATACCTTGATTGTTTGGCAGTAGGGATTCCTGTTAAAGATTAAGAAGAAGGCATGTGCAGCAGCTCTTTTTCTTTCCATCACACTTCACCCTGAAAACCTCCAGCAGGAGAGAAAGACCAATCCAGGCTCCTCCTCGTCAGCAAAGGGGAATGGGAAACAATAAAACCGATGCGGACGATCGCCCTGCCCCGCCTTTTGCAAACAGCAAGAAAATAAGCCACAATAAAAGACATTCTCTGATTCATGGAAAAGCACCGTGGGACAGCACAGTGGTTAACATTTTTGCCTTGGGTTCAATTCCTGGGGTGCTCTTTGCGTGAAGTTTGTATCTTATTCTTGTGTTCGCCTGGGTTTCCTCCTGGTGCTCTGGTTTCCTCCTACAGTCCAAAGACTGGCTTAATTGGCTTGTGGGAAAATTGGCCCTGGTGTGAGTGTGTACCCTGCGATGGACTGGTGTCCCATCCAGGGTGTACTCTACCTTGCACCCACTGCTTGCTGGGATAGGCTCTAGCTCCCTTGCGACCCTGTACTAGATAATGCAGTTAGAAAATGGATGGATGAAAACACACCCAATAGTCTGTTTTCTAATGGAAATCAATTGCAAAGAGACCCAAGACCAAACCCCCATGAGTTCTACAAAGGGAGCGCCCTCTTCCGACAAAATGAGTGCGCATGCTGGCTAACCAGAACCCAGGCATCTGGTGGCATACTGGAAATAGTGATGAGACATGAAGGCACACAGTCCGCAGGGCATTTTGTTTTGAACAAGGAAGTGTTTGTCTACCTTCCCTGGCTGATTAATAACCCAGCACGTAGGAGGTAAAATATCACATCCGCCGCAGCAAGGCAAGAACCGAAGACCAGAGGTGCAGCCGGGAAAAAGATTTGTTCCCAAAAAGTGCAAGAAACCTGATCGTCAAGGCATTGGATTTAACGACACAAGGTTTCAAAAATGAAACTTTTCCACAATTCACAGGAATTCTGTTGAAGCCCCCAGCCTGGCTTACTAAGACCGAACACAGAGCTCTCCTGGCAGAGAGTGAACCACACTCCAGGGCCAGCCAGTAGTGTGAAATCATGACTCCATTCCACTGGCTTCTGCTCAGCCGATGA